AAAACATCCTATTCATGCGGTTAGCTGGTTGGTCAGGGCCCATTGACAATATTACACACCATTCAATAGGTATAAAACTATCTCTCAACACTCCTCTGTTCAAACAGACCAATGAATTGGGAGAACGATGAAAAAAAGAGAGAAGACGAAGAAACAAGGCTGCGACGCTTATCGCTGACGTGCACAGGGCCGGCGGACTTTGAACTTTTTTTTTACTTTTTTTTTTTTTTAAGAATTGAGCACCCCTAATACATGCTTCATAGTGTGCCAAGCAAACTCAAATTTGATTAAGCTTTCTTACGAAAGCAATGACGTGAGTTTAGCTTGGTTTTCTTCCCGACCATTGATGTTTCCCTTCTACCTATCCCATCTGCGTCAGGGGCCATATTTTATTTCTGGCGCTCTAGGTTTTCATCGATCTCCCCATCCAATCTCCATCCTTTCACGCAAACTGATGTCGACTGCCACGACACGCTCAAATTTATCTCTACAGCCTCTAGAATCAGATATACGAATATTCACCACAGTTGCTTCATATAGAGAATGGCGACGTAAAGCGTTCATCGAGAACAGATCAGTCGGATTCGTACCAACGATGGGTGCTCTGCATGAAGGACATCTCGATCTCGGTGTGTATATCTATTTCATTCATCTATACCATCTATTGATCTACATCGATTCATAATCATTCATTCGTAAACTAGAAGTAACGTTATACCAGTACTAACAATCCTGCACTACAGTCCGTAGATCCTTATCTGAAAACGATCTCACCGTTCTCTCCATCTTTGTCAATCCCGCTCAATTCGCTCCGCATGAAGACCTAGAGACGTATCCTCGTACGCTTGAACATGATTTGAAGGTACTTGCTGAGCAACAAGTTGTCGCGTCGAACCCTGATACGAGTTCAAATTCGATTCCCACTTTGAATCCCAACCAAGTCAAACGACCCTCTGCCGTCTTCTTACCCAGCGTACGCGAAATGTACCCGGGTGGTATAGAACAAGAAATAGTCAAGCAACGCGGAACATTCGTCGAAGTCACAGCTTACGGCGCACAGATGGAAGGGAAGAGTCGACCAGGCTTTTTCCGTGGTGTAGCGACAGTGGTCACCAAGTTATTCAATGTTATACAAGTAAGGACATTACGCGAAATCACCTAAAATCTGACCTCACACTACTATACGCATAGCCCACGAACGCTTACTTTGGCCAAAAAGACATCCAACAAGCTCTTCTACTCCGACACATGGTCACGGACCTTCTTCTCTCTCATCCCTCTCCAGATCACCTACACATTGTACCTACAGCCCGTGACCCATCTGACAACCTCGCTCTATCTTCAAGGAACGCCTACCTGTCACCTGCCGGCCGCAAAGTCGCGCCAACGCTATATGCTGCGCTCAAGGCTGCAGAGGAGTGCTGGCTCGCTGGAGAAGGAGATGAAGGAGGAAAGAATAAGAATAAGAAGGAATGTGTGGAGATTGCTCGGGCACTCGTTGAACGGCGCATTGAAGAAGCGCATGATCATGGATTGGACGTGGAGATTACGCTTGACTATATCGAGATGAACGACGCTGGAAACTTCGAGGTCTTGGATGACACTGACACGCGTTCGTTGAGAGGTAACGAGGCTGCTCCGGTGATTTTGAGCGGGGCAATGTGGGTTGATAGGACGAGGCTGATAGATAATCTGTTGCTGGGAGATTTTGGTACAGTTGTACGATAGAGTACTCAAGTTTACAGTGGGAAGGTAATGCCTGAGTACAACTACAGATACCTGGTTGAACTGATAGTAACAAGTCCCTGGTAGTATATCGGTTTAGTACACGCGCCTGTCACTACACCTTTGTGTAACGCTTTGACGCGCGAAAGCTGGGTTCGACTCCCAGCCAGGGAGGAGCCCAATTGCAAATTTTTGGGGGGTCAAGGCGATCTTCACGTTTTGTCTGCCTATTCTTGTGAGCTGTTTGTTTCTCTGAAATTTATCCCACACGAGTGACCCAAGCTTATCTTTCGATTCTATCTATCTATGCATGGACATTTTTTGTAAAATTACCGTAGCCTCCGAATTGAACGAATGTTCCCAGTTGCTTGCCGGCTTCTTCCTCTACATAGATTCCTTTCCAACTGGGCAGCCGAGGGCCATTGGAAAAACATGAAGTGTATAAGAATCAATCCCTGGTAGTATATCGGTTAGTACACGCGCCTGTCATAAGTCAGTAAGAGCGTAGTTTCGCGCGAAAGCTGGGTTCGACTCCCAGCCAGGGAGTTTTTTTTCTGTGGTGTCTCCTTTTCTTTTAGATTGTTGCACTTTGACAAAATACAACCTCGCGCACTTCTAAGTTGCTGAGTGCCAATTTATTGGGTATCATTGTTCTACTGCAACAAATAGTGCTCGTATATGTACAGTCCCATGTTGACTATGTCCACTTCGATTACAGCTACGGCTCCCTTCCTCACTCTGTTTCCCTATCACCACTCCTACTTCGCACAGCCCAAAATTCAAAACGATGATCTCCCACCTCCGGATGTCCTCGTTCCACATACCCATCCCCAAAGAAAACCCGTAGTGCAAGGTGACCTTGAAACACCTCGACGAGCGGTCTACATTCATCCTTCCATCCCTCCTCGTCGACATCACCCGTAAACCCACACCACACTCTACTAATCACAAACTCCCCAAACGAATCAACGATATCACCGATTGAGCCATCGCCTATAATACATGCGCCAGCACAGAGACGTGGTCTGAGAACGGGAGTCGGTGAAGAGGTGGAGGCAGATGACGATGGGGATGTCGTCTCAGTCAACATCATATCAACATCCGAGCCCTTAAGGCGCAATGTAGATGAGGAAGGTCCATCTCCGCCGACAGTTTCTCGGATGTCATGTAATCCAATTCGGAGGCATTCATTGCTGGCCGGATCTCTGATTAGATCGGACTGGACGTATCCATGAATTCCGTTGAGACTTGACAACGGTATACGGTCGGACTGATCAGGAAGAGAACATCGTGCATTTGGCGTGGGCGAGGTTACTGCAGTGTGCCCGGAATCCGAAAGAATCCTGCACAAGGTCCGATAATGACCGTTTGAAAGTGCTTCGGTGAACTCAGACTCGTGTCGCCTAGAAACGTTTGAGAAGTCTGAAGTTATCAAGGTCGAGGCGGTCAAGAATAAATTAAAGTCTCCTGAGTATCGCGGAGGTGGTGGTGGTCTTGGCAGTATTGGTTGAACGACAAACTTTGAGTCGTTTTGAGTGTTTTGGTGTGGTCTGTTGGAACGACTATTGGAGGTATAAGGGTTTGGGCTCGAATTCGAGAGAGTATTGGCTGCACGTAGTGGCAATGCCTTGATGGGGCGCAGTAACAGCGCATGGGTGGCTTGGGAGCACGATCCAGATACGTTCACTACTAGCGGAGCATGCCTTGGATGTTCGACAGGTGCTTGATAATCAGTCTTGTGAAGAAAGTGCTTTATGAATAATTAGCCATCCGAGGTACGAGTAAAGAGATAATCACGTTTGAATTCCAAACGCACCGGGGAACACGAATGCACGTCGGAGATGGTCAGAGTAGTCCGCGCCCGTTTCGTGGGCCTACAGTCAGCAGCATCATGGCCATCATTAACAGTATCAACACCCATATCCCAGAAAGTGGTCTCTCTGAGTACATCATGTCCATAATTTTGAAGGAACCGTGACAGTCCGGTGGTCACCATCGCACAACTGGTCTGCCTTCTTGTTATGTAGGTAGCAAAAATTCGTCACCAAGGTCCTAGACGCGTCAAAGAAGAGTGAAGAGCGCACTGTTTGCCCGATAAGAAGAGAAATCGAGAAGGAGGCGTCGCCGTTTTGTGCCTGTTGATAATGGGAGTCGACAAAGCAGTTCTGCTTGATGTAAAGTGTAGTCAAGAGTATATATATAGATGTCCAATTGTCAATGAACGATGACAATGGTGAGGGATTGCGCGCAAATGGCAGGCAAACTTAAGGGCAAGAAAGGGGTCGTTTCCCACGAGGTCGCGTATTCAGATAGTACTGCACAATGACCGTACTACATGATCCTTAACAAGCTGGGTACAGCAAGATCACCCCTAACACTCTCAGTCTACCATCTAATACAACTCCTACAGACTTTCCCGCCATCACTAGCGCAAGAGTTCTAGTCCAATGTCTTTTTTGTGCAAACAGGAAGAGAAATTCTGCCTGAATGAGGGTCGTCTCGATGTTTATGTTGAGGGAAACTCAACAGAGGGCATTATATATAGTACTCACAAACAGAACTATACTCTTCTGTCAATCCTTTATGAGTTCGAAAGGGGCGGTATACACAGTAGACAAAAGCCTTGTCGCTGTACTACGCGGACTTCTAGCGCATAAGCGAGCTTGCCCTACGAGAGATTACTTTTAGCGGCCACAATAATAGAAGCGCTGAGGATATCTGGGCCTTCAGTAAACACGCTTCGGAGGAGTTGGGCATAGGGCGCATTGTTCGTTACTTGTTAGCAACACTTTTGCCTTGGATTTGATGAAGCGTTGACTCGATGATACCAATAGCCGCATCCTGAAGGACCCTAGAGGGACATCGAGAAACTCATGAGCAATTTCGGAGTTGGACAATGAGCTGTCAGATTCGATTCCGCCTTAAGGTAAGGATTTAAGGATGGCTTGAGTTTCGTGAATTTTTTGCATATTTCTCTAATAAATACTTGTATTAGAGCTCATGTGAAGTTGACCGACAGACACATCAATGGACCTTGTTGTCAGTACAAAGAACCTTATACGAGGGGTGTTCCAATCGCGCTTGGCGTACCGCATGATACGGCTGGGAAGGTCAATCATCATTTGGGCGGTATATGAGTATAGCATATAAGTGCTTTGCAAGCAGCACATTTCAAGGGCTTTTTTTGGCAGTTCAATTGTTCTGTTGGCACGATACAACACGCCTCTTTGATATCGAAGTCAAACTCAGCAAGTATGGGTTCGTGAAGTGGTTCAGCTTTACTTCAGTCTTGTGCAAGCTTGATGTATGAGATCATTTTTCATCATTTAATATACAGTGTACTTGAAAAGTGTACTTTGTACTTCGTTTGTGTACTTTTTCACATATTTTTACTTTCAAT